ACTACTACAGTCAACTTCTCTACTATGCCTCACTGCAGAATCAGCAGCATCAGCAAATGCCCAACGGCACTTCTTCACCTTCAGCACCATCAGNTCTACTCCTACTACTACCAGTACTACTACAGTCAACTTCTCTACTATGCCTCACTGCAGAATCAGCAGCATCAGCAAATGCCCAACGGCACTTCTTCACCTTCAGCACCATCAGCAGCAGCAGGGGTAGCAATTAGCAGCACTAATTACCGACCTCCACCACCACCACCACCTCCGCCTCCTTTTTCTAATCATCACCACCACCGAATTAATGACAGCAACAACAACAACAGCAGCAACGGTAGTCGAAGTACGACCACTACCAGCAAACATCAGAGCAGAAGAGCAGACAAACTGGCGGCTCAGTTAGTGTCGGCGGCCCTCTCCTCAATCTCCACCAACTCCTCCTCCTCCTCCTCAAATAACCTCCAAAGATCTCAAAAAACGGAACCAGGCAGAACTGATTCTCAAAGAGGTGATCACCCAAGTGAAACGATCAGAAGAAAATTTGATAAAAGCGACAACTATCGACTTCAATCATCGAGTGCACTATTGCAACCTTCAGTCATAGGGACAAACGTCCCCAGAAAAGTGCCCTCAAACACCGAGCGCAGTGATAATAATGGTGGAAAGTTATCAACCACAATCAACCCACCACCACCACCCTCTAACTCCACCGACCTGCAGAACATTCTCACCTTTCAGAATCTCTTTCTCGACAGTCTGGCGGCTCAACAGCAGCAGCAGCAACAAAACCAACTAAAGCTAAAGAAATCAACAGTGGGAGTGAGTAAAGCGACCTCCAACAACAGTTTCAGCCACAGCAGTGACCAGCAACAGCAACGCCCCAAAAAGTTTCTCTGCAGCGATTGCAAGTCAGCCTTCAGCAATCGCAGCCAGCTCAACAGTCACATTCGGACGCATACCGGTAAGTGTGATGGTAAAAGTGTTCCCCAAAATTTTAACCTCTTTCCCCTCAGGCGAGCGACCCTTCGTCTGCGACTACAAAAACTGCCAAAAGTCCTTCACGCGAAACGAAGAGCTGACCCGCCACCGGCGCATCCACAGCGGCATCCGCCCCTACCCGTGTCGCTGGTGCGAGAAGCGCTTCGGCCGCAAGGACCACCTGCGCAAGCACGAGCGCACCCACGAGCGACGCCTCCGCTCCACACTCCTCCTCANGGCGAGCGACCCTTCGTCTGCGACTACAAAAACTGCCAAAAGTCCTTCACGCGAAACGAAGAGCTGACCCGCCACCGGCGCATCCACAGCGGCATCCGCCCCTACCCGTGTCGCTGGTGCGAGAAGCGCTTCGGCCGCAAGGACCACCTGCGCAAGCACGAGCGCACCCACGAGCGACGCCTCCGCTCCACACTCCTCCTCAACTATACGGCCAGTCTCAGCGGTGCTGGAGGTGCCGGAAGTTCAATTGGGCCAGCAGCAGCAGCAACAGCAGGAATGCTAGGACCAAACGATAGCAGAATAAACCCCCCACCCTCCACCCTTCACCCCATCATCCCAAACAGCAGCAGACCACTGGACCTCTTTGGGCTGCTGCAGCATTCTCAGTCCTCCTCATCCCAAACTAAAACAATGACGCCCACCACCCACCCACGCAAAGACCAAAGATTATCATCATCTTCGAGCAGCAGCAGCAGCAGTGGAAGCAGCAAGAGCACCACCTCCTCAACACTGAGCTCGCCTGCTTCTCAGTCAGCGGCGATGGACCTGTGCGGCAGCAGTAGCGGCATCAGCAGCAGCATCATCAGTCGCCTTCCTCATCAACCGCTGCCGCCACTGCCGAAGTCGGCACCTAAACTGTGCTGATGGTTAAGCCCAAAGAGCAGGCAAAGGCAACCTAGCCCAAAATCGAATCGATTAGCGCCTCCAAAGTGTGTGCTTGTGCTAATTGTTCTCTCCCCCACCGCTCTAACCTGTAATGGTCGCCACTACCACCGACACACACAAATCTCTCTCCCTCGAGACAATCGATGCAATAAAGAGAAACGATTCATTCACTGACGACCGTGTAAATGACAAAATTGTCAAATGAGCGCAAGAGATTGATTCATTGACATCAAATCAGAATTTCGAGTAGTAACAAAAAGAATTCAACAGTTAAATCACTGCCTCTTTTTTAAAGCAGAAAAACTGCCGACTAAAGACGACTGAGCACTCACTCACACACAGCAAATATGAAACAGAGTGGGCTTAGTCAGTCAGTTAGTCAGCGGCAGCCTGTGATTAATTAATGGCCGCAGCTTTGAGAAAAAGAGGGGGACTCCTATCCTCCTCAACGGGTAGAAAAAAAGAAATCAAATTAATTAATCCATTTAGGGAATAAAACGGTGTGTGTGTGTGTGTGCGTGCACTGCGATCTTTCTGAGGCAGCAGTGGATATAATGGACACTAAAACAATCGACGGTAATCAGCCGTTCAAAGCAGCAGCAACGGTTCGATCGAATCGAAGAGGAGGCAAACAGACGGGGGGACTGACAGTGAGCAACAGTTCACCTGACTGAGCTCACAGCAGACAAACACTAAAGCAACGGCAGCAGCAGCAGCTTCGCACGCCGATCCTCCTCAACTTAGCCAGTCAATCCGATTTATCCTCTCTCTTTTCTGCGAGGTCTAAATTCATTAATTAAACACCTAGTCGTTCACCTGTCA